AAAGCAAACAGAATATTGTGCCAAAAGACAGAAGCTAAAGCAAACAGGATATTGAGCTAAAAGACAAAAGCTAAAGCAAACAGAATATTGAGCTAAAAGACAAAAGCTAAAGAAAACAGAATATTGTGCCAAAAGACAGAAGCTAAAGCAAACAGAATATTGTGCCAAAAGACAGAAGCTAAAAGCTAAAACTAACAAGCCCCAAGCAAAAACTTAGTTTGTTCTAGTATTATTGCATGATAAGGAAAAATCTAAATTTTATTTTGTTTGAACATCATCCCGTTTGACAGTTTGTTTCAAGCCTTTGAGGATGAGAACTACTTAAAGTGAAGTATAGTCTTGGCTAACATTGGCTGGGGTTGCAGCAGCGTACACTTCCCCAAATCTACTATTACAGCAAAGCTGCTGCCGTCTGATACAATATCCCATACAGTATTTCTGTCTTCATTGTCATCTCCCAAATTTAAGGCAGAAAACTTGAACATTTTAATAAAAAGAAGAGATTTCTCCAAGCAGATCAACATTCATTTTATTTAAAATCAACGAAAACAAAAGATATGTGAGTGAATACATGAAAAAATATTTCTTGCAGGGGTAAATAAATCAGTGATAATTGGATATTGTCCTCTGTGTTGGACATGTTGGACTTCTTGCGAAGGATGGATGAAAAGGAGTTCTTCATCTGACAAATGTGAACACGTTAACAGCCTCAGAGATCAGTTGAGACACAAGTCTTCGTTATCTGACAGGAAACAAGACTCATCCGCTCACCTTCAGCAGCGAGAGGGAGGAGGAACAACACACAGGCAGACAATTACCATAAAAGAAGAGGACCATGATGTAGTTTATCTCCAACAAACTGTTGCTGCAGTGCATGCTGGGATGGGCTGCAGACACAAAGGACATCTCAGAGTGATCCGATGGTGACATCCGCAGAATGTCAGACTGCACAGACAGGAAGAGAAGAGATAACAGAGACACACAGAGATGAGAATCAGCTCACCTTTCAGCCTTATTCTCTACATTTCCTGAATGTTAAATAAAACAAACCACCAGAGACAATAAAATAGCATCATATCCTATAATAATACAGCATTGTTAAAAGGAGCCATTCTGAATATTGTTTACTTTTACTTTTGATACTTTAAAGGTGCTAAATTCGAAATTCACAGCATATCTATTGCCTCCACACAGCTCGCAACATTATGACAGCTGAGTCGTCGGCCCGCAGCTAACATTGCTAACAGCGAAACAACGGCAACAGTGCTGACACGGGGCACGCTAACAGGTGCTAACATGTGCGCGCCTGTTTGCCTGACTATTTCAGCAAAGCACAGAGAAGCTCAGATAACACACACAGAGGGAGAGTGACTTCATTCTCTGCTCAGTAGACATTACTCCACTATATCTTTACATAGATGAAGTTGTTTGCTGCTAAATTAATGCTGAGACAGGGTTTAATCGCAACCCTGAACAACACAAAATACATCTGTTACATGAGTCGTCTCCAAAAACGGACTAAATGAAATGTATTTGCAAATAAAACAGTATTGAGAAATGAAACCTACTGTGTAATCTACAACACAAGGAGAATAAAAACATGCAGGGATGCCAACAAAAATGAAAGTACGTCTCTCCTCTGCACTTCCTCCGTCACAGACAGCTGACATCTGCTTCCTCCTCGAGTCTCCAACACGTCGACATTCTCAACACTTTTTCAGCTTCCTGAGAAACTTCAGATCAGGGTTCAGTATATCTCCATATCTTATTTCCTGCTTACATATTTCTAACCAGTCTCTGTGTTTGTAAGGCCATATATTTAAAAGACATATAAAGTATATGTGTCAATGAATGACTCTTACCAATCTAACGTGCACATGCATGTACATATATACCACTTGTGTTTGAAAATATAGCAATGCTGGGAACGAAAAGGAGCGTGTTTGAGTTTTCAGCAAACATGAAAACTAAATTATTGACATTAATAGATTTATTAATGCCAGTAAGATTATTAACAATTATTAATAATAATGGGGCACCACCCTGAGATAACCAATAACCAAACTATAAAATAAGTCTCATAATTAGTTTTCACTCACAATGTCAATAGTCTGAGTACTATTTCACATTCAGAGTGAAAAGTGAAGGTTGAGTTCGAGCAACAGACCACATATCCAGCTATTATCACAATACACGTGCACAAAGGTGATCACAGAAAGCTGCTCTTTAAAGTATACCAGAGTTTATTAAACTCCAATAATATTGATCAGGTCAAATAATATCTAAAACTAACAACAAATACTATACATTTATGAGCATGCTATCTAAAATCAACAAACAATCTGGTGAGAGTGTGTGTGTGTGTGTGTGTGTGTGTGTGTGTGTGCATGCATGTAGTTATGGGGAGGGGTAGTTTCGCAGAGCCTCACTGCAGCCGTTGAATACAGAAACCGTTAGCTTATCACACAGAAACCGGCAGTTCTGGTCTTTTAAATGATAAAGTCAGTTATAACAATACAGTATGTCAGGTTTTTAAGAACAAAGGATGAAGGAGCCTGCAGGCCACAGGTACTCTTCTGCTGCGAGCTTCTTACTGCGCACGCGCATCAGAAGAATGAGCTAGATCCGGTTCAAATTAAAAACAATATTTAATGTACTACACAAAGTTCACTTACAAACTGAATTAACTATCAATAGTAATGTTCTCGAGAGCAGAGACCACATACACGCATCTCCTCACAGTCCGGCGCGGCCAGTTAGCTGAAAATGAGAGCTGCAGTGATCTGAGATAAACTCCCTAAAACATTGTCTTTTGTATCCCCTGAGAGTCGGAAAGTGTCCGATACTGTCATAAAACGTGTGAATGACCCTCCGTGGCGATTAGTGATTGGCTTCATTTGAATTCTGTCCCCTCCCATTATCGATCCCTTAGCAAAACATCTTGGACTCCTCCTCTCTGTCCTGCTGGTCAGCTTGGCATTTGACCGTCCCTCTGGCCCCATCCTCCATCGATGAGGTCGCCTCCATTTGCTGCTGCATGTCTGACACCTCACTCAGAATCCCTATCTGACCCTCAAAACTATTCTTAGTGTTTTAATACCTACAGTGACTATACTTCTATGATTTAATACATTCAATGAGTTAATATACTGTAACATATAATATCCTCTATAAGTAAGAATATTGTAAACCTATAATACATTCCATATGGAAACATATTGTGACTAACATATTTATTATTGTAACACTTCTACTCACCACTAGGGGTGTTATTAAATCCTACTAATAATGCGTTTAATACTGAAATTCTCCACAAGTAACTTATAACAAAACACAAACAAGGTAATAAACACTATGACCTAACTAAGCCCAGACACCAAGCTAAACGTGTTACGGTGAGATGACTTCTTAGTGGTCCTTCTGAGTTTCTCTCTTAAACTCAGGCTGCGCAGCTCCAAGCTGTGCGGGATAAACTCTCTCTTCGAGAATATCTTCGGAAGTCAAGGGGATTCTCGTCCTTATATCCGGCACAAAGTCGATCCAAAAACAAAACAAAACAGTCTTTATTCGTCCAGCAAATGTAAGACTGCCCAAGGGTGTTCTTTGAAAAGCAGCAAAGCTATGTTCTTTTAAAAGCAAAGTTGTTCTTGCCTCCTTACTTGCGAATTGAATTGGGTGGAATGGCAGAGAGCTGGGGGTGAAGCAGAGTTTTGTAGTTTCAGGGAAAGCAGGGCTGAGCCACGGGGGTTCCTCGGGTGTCTGTGGCTATTTGTCCAATGGGGTCGCAGTGTTTTATTGCCTTCGCCTCTAAGGCCATGTGAAACATTCCTTGGAGCTTGCTCTTATCTCAAACTCAGATCAGGCCTTTTGTTGAACAAGTCAGATCCCTTTGTTTCAGAGCACATGGTGAAGGCCTTGAGGGCCCAACAGCAACAACGGCAAAACAATAATATAAAAACTGAGAAAATTAGATTAGGGTTCCATTATTTAGACTCCAAGTAAAAAAATTAAGTCAAATAAAACAGATTAAACCACTTTAACTATATGCTCTTCTTACTATCAGGCAAGCTAACACTAAAAACATTAGCTAATGCTACTTGGAAGTCCACAGAATGGAATATGAAGGGGTTAAAAAGTTTTAATTCATTTTTCACGTGAATGGTGGTAAAGGGAAACCAGTTAAAGCTATTGGCTATTTTTCTATTATCTGAATGGAGGTTAAAGAAAAAGTAAAAAGGTTTGCATTTCATTATACGCTCCATTTTAATTATTTACTTAACTAGTATTTGTTCATGTATTTAGTGATATTTTTGACTTGACTGATACACTTTTGTGGTTTGTGGTTATTGTGTTTTCACATGTGTAGTTGTAAACAGAAGCGATGTGACAGAAGCAGGTGAGCTTCAACAATAACAGGCGCCCGCTCCTAACAGATTCCGGAGAGGCTCAGTGAATTGAAGTGATGTAAATGTATTACATTAGATATCAAAACAAGATCAAAGAATGTGTGTGATTTGGTTGAACAGTTGGGGAACTTATCCCACATTCCTAGAGTCAGAAACTAATACATTCTTAAGGACAAACTTTTTTTAAATGTATTTGGTGTAGTCTGAATGAGATTTTAGGCTATCTTGGCTCAATTGTTGAGTGTCTATGTGATCAAATAACAGTCATGTGCGGCACCTTTTTCCAAGCTCTGTTTGAGGGGAGGCCCACAGTCTCCGGCTTTGAAAACCCCGGTTTTAAGGCATTTACATGGCAGACAAAGCAACCAATCCCGTTCCAGCATACGTCACTTTAGTTTGAGACAATAAACTGCAAATTCACATTATTGTTGTTTTTCAAGAACATTTAGCAAACAGTTGACTGCTGAAAAGTGTTTTATTATTGTTGAGGATAGAAAAAAATGAAACTTAAACTAGAGACCATCTTGCAATGGGATCACAACAGCTGCGACACTAAAATCGGACCAAGGGCGTAAAGTTATAGGGGGGGCGATGAACCCTTCCCTAATTCCTCCCCTCCTCCTTGTGGCGCCCTTGCTCAGACCACGGCCATTTTAAAACTCAACCTTCTTTTTGATCTCAACTTAACATCTGTAAAGTTTCATGACTGCATCTTGCACAGGTGAGACACCTTTGCATCGATTAAACCTGTCCACAGACAGACAGACAGAAATATAAAGACCCGCCACAGCTGTCGAAACCGCCTGTGTCATAGTTCCCGCTACAGTGGCCGTCTCGATGACCACAATTTGCCACGATGACACACACAGACTCACAATAAACAGTACCAGTGATACACCCCCGAAGATAAACAATAAGCATCATGGATATTATGAAATGCAGAATGGAAAGTATGGACTAATATACATATATATGGTCATTTACACACAAACAGTAAAACTTACAAATCTAAAGTGGCTTTTTCCCATTTGTCACAGATACGCATGTTGTACTGAAGGCAGTCAGCAGAGTGTGTTAAACACCAGAGCGCCCTCTACTGGAGCTCAGCTGTACTGCAGAAGTGCAGTTAAAAAGCAAAGGGTAGTTTATTTTTGTCTTGTAAGGTGAAACTGCAGAAGCTAAATTCAGCTGTAAACACAACAGAAGTGTTTTTTTAAGAGCAGTAACTTTAATTTGCGTCTTCTGATCTACGTAGGTGATGAGGTTTTTTTTAAATCAGTAGCTATGTTGTGATTATGTACAAGCCCATAGTTTCTTTTTTTTGGTATATTTCTGGTGAGGAAAAGACAAAAGAATTCAGAGGATGGATTAACAAATCTTTCATGCAGCAGGGCTGCACAATTCATTGTTGAGGCTGCAGGTGGTGTGTTCGTTGGGTCGTCTGCGACCTTCAGTCACACCCATAACACCCTTCTAGGTGTAGATATACGCAGAGGAGTTTACAGGAATCTGCACACAACTACAGTTCCAGCATTAAAGCCGCTGCACATACCGAAATCCTGCTAAATTCATGAGCATAAATCCTGCACAGAAACAAAGACAAAATCATGCTGTTTTCTCTCCCTCGATCTCATAACGTCCTTAAACAGCACATGTTTGAAGACATCCTGCTACGCACTATGACTTATGAATTACTTTTGGTTTAACAGCTAGCACCTATGAAGCAATGACTCACAGACGACCAATACAGCTGACTGGAAAAAAACACCAACCAAAACCTGAATTTGCCCGTTAAATGGCACCTACTAGCATTATGTGGGTTCAGTAAAAGTGTTTTGTAACAGAAACAATATCTCCATTAAGTGGTCATGTTGTGATGAGACATGATGGTCAACACAGGTGTCCACATAGAGACAATAATGGGAGAAAACCGTCCGGTTTAACCATAAAATATATACAATTTTTCATTCTTAAATTTGGAAATCAAATATTCAGTTATTGATGTGAAAGATTCAAAATGTATCTAGATAAAATGTAATTCTTGATATTATTTATTTATCTATTAGGTAGAGTCTGAAGTGAGAGGACAGTTTTGGAAATTAAAAATTCCTCCAGAATTGTTCAGTTAATGTCGAACTTAACTGCTAATTAAGACAAATAATTCAATACCAGTACTATGAAAGTTATTTGTTACAAAACTGAAACTTAAGTATGTAAAATGTTAAAGAATGAAAGTTTCAGGTTTTTTTTTTACTTCAGAAATTATAAATCAATTCTTTATAAAAAAAGAAAACTGTTTCTGTTTAAGTGTGTGTGTGTGTGTGTGTCTACTGGATGACACAGCAGCAGGTTGCTGGGTAATTGTCGGCGCTGACTTTGTGCTCGTTGCCGTAGACGTAGTAGAGGTGAGCTTTGCCCTTCCACTTGTAGTTCACTTTAGTGATCGGGATCAACTCGACCGTCTGCCTCTGAGAGAGAGAGAGAGAGAGAGAGAGAGAGAGAGAGAGAGAGAGAGAGAGAGCAATGTTAAAGGAATAGTTTCAACATTTTGGGAAACACGTATTCTCTCTCTCTCTTTCAGGATGTGGTTAGCCTAGCTTAGCATAAAGACTGGAGGCAGGGGGAAACAGCTACTTCATTAAAACTTCCAATGTCCACATTTTTTATTTCCTTATCATTTGAATTGTGTGTTTCATACAAATTGCCACTATAGGTGACTAATAAAGTAAAAGGAAACAGTTGATGATAATGATAAATATTTTAGTATATAAGCTAGAAGCCTATAAGTATTCTGGTTAATAATCGTGAAAACGGAAAAACTGATATTTCCTCTGACAATAATCGTGATATCAAAATGTTATATCCTGACATCCCTAGTCATGTTCCATGACTTGATATCTGCATTTCTCCAAAATCACTTAAATTATTAATTAGGTTATTTAAGCTACACAAATCGCTTTAATTTACAAAAACTTACAAAAAAGAAAGGGCCTTAATGTTAGCTACAGTGATGCTTATCTTGTCTTTGAGTTTCTCTTGAATCCGTCAGTCATGCATCTGTCTGATTGACTCACCTGCTGCAGGATCCTGGAGGTCTGGCCGTATTTGGTTTGGTGATCTTTGATCATGCGCTGAGAGGCCTCGGAGATGGCCGGGTTTGGGAACCCAAGCAGCGGGTAGAGCTGAGAGGAGACAGACCGAGAGTCTAACACAAGGTACTGACAATAAAACAGATGGCTAACATTAGCAACGTCCTTTAATTACCCCAAAAACCCAAAGTTTTATTTCAGGAACATAACAAACGAAGGAGAGTCCTGCAGCATATTATAATGGAGGTGCTGCAACTCGCCTGAAATAAATAGTGCCTACATTTACATTGGAAGAAATGACTACCCTTTTATATAATATATATTATATAACTTCACTTAAATACTGAGTATTTAAGTGAGCCCGGACAAGACCTGAAGCATTCGTTAAGCGTTTGCACTAAGTGCAATTTGCCCCAGAGGGCTTAGTGGGATGACAGGAATGTTTTTTTTATTTTTTTATTCTCTCAATCAAATACTGAGTATTTAAGTGAAGTTCACTAGTGTGTGTGTTTGTACCAGGCTCTGGCTGTTCTGGAACAGCTCCTTCCCGTTCACTGAGTCAAGTTCGATCTTCAGACCAGAGTTCTGCGGCACCACATGGTACTCCTCATGGTTAGACCTAAACACAAATATATATATATACACACACACACACACACACACACACACACACACACACACAGTTATTTAAATTGGAAACAGTGTACAGACGTATTTGTATGAATTTAAATTCACATCATGCAGTTTATCTTTATGCCACCAGAGGTCAATGATGTGATCCATAACACCACTGTCCACTGAATCCATTTGATATGAAACTACATTAAAGCCACTGTTTGAAGAATGCTAACCATTAAATCATATTAAAATTGTTTTGATGTCATTATTGTTTGAAGAAATAGTGTATAAAATGGTTCATTGTGTGTGCTTTCAGCCGATCAATCTCAGAGCCACTGGTTCAGATTTGTGATCAGGTGTTGAACACCCTCAAGGATCATCTTCAATACATTTTGGACCCTCTTCAAGGCCTATTAGAACCTTGGAAACCCTTTGAACCTCCTCAAAGACCGCATGTACGTCTTCGAGGAGCTCTGGAACCCCAAGTGCCCTCTGGAAGCTAAGGCACCATGATTCCTCTTCAAGGACCAATGTTATATCTTCCAGGACCACTGAAACAACTTCAAGGACTCAGGGAACCTACTCTATGACCACTGAAAGCCCCTTAAAGATCCCAGGACCCTCCTCAAGGACCACTGTAACAGCTGTAGTATCAGCAGCCTACTCACCACTTCACTTTGAGCTTGATGTAAGACAGCATTTGTCGTTTTCCTTCACAGGTTTCACAATCCATGTTTCCCCGAGCATTACACTTGGTACACCTACACACACACACACACACACACACACACACACACACACACACTCAGTCAGACATGATGCATGTTTCACATTCTACTGTGATCTGATCCAGTGGCTACTCACTGTACAGTGTGATTTAAAGGGCATTACTGTTTTTAATGTTAGATAGTTTATTATCTTCATATTCTACTAAACATTTGAAAAAGTATCAAATCACTTTTTAGATTGATTTCCTTCCTCCTAGACTAATTTATTCAACAATTCCTTTAATTGAAAATCAAAATAAACTTTTGTGAGTTTCATTTTTCTGTTACAGTTGTACGTTTTCCTGTCTTTTAACTTAGTAAAAAGAATGTCTATCAAAACTGCTCCCTCCACATGCGGCAGCAAATCATATTGCAGCTGCTTTTATTATTGATTACATGGAGTTGTTGAATACTTTATTCTGATTGGTGAATTACTGCATTCTGCAGTCTTATTGCATTATTTCTTTATACCGTGCTATGAAGACCGTTGCTATCTGCGCATTTTGGATCTCCGTACACAGTAAGAGCACTGTTTTTTATAGGAAAAAACAATAATTTTCGAATCAATAAAATAATTAAATATCAATATCGTCTGTCAAATTAGTTACAAATTAGTAAGTAGCCTATTCATTTGCGCCGTGGTCCAGCTAGCTGAACATTATTACTTGACTTCAGATGTACCAGCTGCTCTTCTGTTGCATTTCTGAGAAAGTAGCAGCGTTAAACCCCCCAGGACCTTGTTTTGCCTGTAGCATCACAGCTAGAGCAGCCTTGCTCATTGCGCCGCCCAGAGCCGTTACACAGATAGCATGGTTTCTACAAAGACACACACACACACGAATAATATTAACATTTTCATTGTCAATCCACATTAAATTAGCTCTGACTAACTTTGTCTGTAAACTGCAATTATTATGCAGTTCATTACTACTGATTGATCAATTGACTGATACTTCTTACTGTTCCATTTCCATTGCACTCTTGACACCGAACCGTCCCCAAAGCGTTGCAGTTAGTGCATTCCTAAACACACAAATACACACACAGTTAAAAATAACGTTAGTGTCTGTTGGAGTCACACTGAAGTGGCAAAACGCACTCAAAGTGATAATTGACGCGCCTCATTAGACACATGCTTCAGTTGCTGCTCCTATGTTGCACTACAGGCATCGGTTTTAAAATGCCAACACCACAGAGGCTTTTTCCTAAGATACTGCTGGTTCTATTTAAGCAACATTTTTGTAAGCCTGTATTACAGATTACCACAATTTATTTTCTATACATTTCTAATTGAGTAACGTTATTTGAAATTCCAACACCTCAGAAACAGCAGTATTTTGAGAAAAGGTCGCTATAAATATATAGGCAGGCACCAGTTCGTAAGATTTACAGACACCCCGTGTTGATTTTCTATACATTTCTATTTGAGTAGCCTATAACGTCACATAAGGGAGGAGGACAGCTGTTGGGTGCTGCTGGTTTTGTCAGTTGGTTGGCAGTAGAACACCAGTAACGCCACCTTTTACCAGCCATCGCATTTCATCTCTTATTTTTCCTTCCAGATGGGCGAAAGTCACATAAAGCACAGCTAATAATGACTTTGTATTATGTTAATTAATTGCTGTTAGGTTTATGTAGTTTGAGTTAAAGCTGGGGTTGGCAATTTTTGTGTGCCGTCATTGGGCAAAAATTCTCCAATAACTTTTCAGCATTTTGTAATTCAAACGGTCTGAGCCAGATAACTAGACTTCTGCACCTCCTCTTGATTCTGTTTTCAGACTAGAAAATCTGACCCGCGACAGGAGATTTTGGTCAATCACAGATCATTTCAGAGAAAGGGATTTCCTAAAGCTGACGTCGTGATTACATCACAGTGTTAGCTGGCGGCAAAACAAAGGAAAGACTGGAGGCCAACATGAATCAGCTCAGGGTAGTGGGTTAAAGTTACATTTCAGAAATGTCATCTAGCTGTGTTGTTGGGGGTCAGAATTGATAAATCTTAGTTGATGATCTGTGATTCTAGACTCTAGTGAGGCTCTTTAAGGCCCCATAGAACTCACTCAAGGACCACTGTAACATCTTCCAGGAACACCTCAGGATCCTTTTCAAGAACTCCTATGAGTTCTTCCAGCCAGGCCCAGCTTTCAGAACTTTTGGACCATTTATAAAGGACCCCTGGAACCTCTTCAAGCCACATTTAAATCTTCTCAAGGACTCCTGGAACCTCTTCAAGCACCATTTAAATATTCTCAAGGACTCCTGGAACCTCGTCAAGCCCCATTTGAATCTTCCCAAGGACTCCTGGAACCTCCTCAAAAGGCTGTAAAACCCTCAAAGTGAACCCTTGAATCTCTGGAACCTTCTCAAAGACCTCTCCAACCTCCTCCAAAATATCCATACTCTAAACTCAGAGAATCCTGCTCTCTGATTGGCTGTCAGCTGTATGTTTGTAAATTATAAGGTAGAATCAACTGCAGGTAACCATGGCAACAAGGTGTTCTATGACGGACAACTTCTGTTTACCAATCACCTTGATGGAGGAGGTGAAGGGCACGCGGATCTTCTCTTTGTGCTTGGTGAAGAAGCTGGGAGTCTTGGCCGGGATGTCCCAGGGCTGGGGGGCCGGCTGGGTGTTGAAGTCAGCTTCCTCACCTGTTAGTCACACAAAAGAGACGTCACAGCGAACTGTCAATCAAAAAACACCTGACGCCTGCTGGCTCAGTGATGTCATAAGAGTTATCTCAGTTTGGGCTGGGACACTTACGATGTATAACAGAAAACTTGCACTACAAAGCAGGTGTGAAGTCTACAAGAGGTGGGTGTGTAACAGGCTGAGAGGGTCTAATGAAAGACACCCTCCAGCTGCATTATGGGAAATGTAGGAGTCAGTGTTTTGAAGTTTTTGATCTATAGTAGGGACTATAGGACACTCCGACAACCAGGGTGTGAGATCTGGTTATTGAAGGGAACCTTTTTATTACAAGAAACAATCAAATTCACACAAACAAAGGGCTGTTTAAAGGTTCAGACTTCGTTTAAGGCTTAAAGACCCCATGAAACTGGCAGCTTAACTTCCTGGAAAACATTATGGCAAGGGTACCAATAAAGTCACCACACTTACATGAATTAAATAACGTGAAGGAAGCAGTGGACCTTTGAGGCTCAGAATTAGGTTCAGGTTGCACAAATGTCTGTGTGTTTGTTTACCTTCATAAGGTTTTTGGGCCTGCTCAGTTTTCCTGGTCTCAGTGAACGTCTCCAGTTGATACTACAGAGCAGAAAACACACTTCAAGAGACGCTACATGTGTGTGCAGTGTTAATAACATGTCAGCTGACAGAGACAACAGTGGTATGAATATAAAAGAGTAACAGCAATAATACAACATTACAAAACAAATACTGATAGAAACACTAATTAGTAATAATCACAGCGATGGTTGTGTTACAATCGAAGGATTTAGGAAACTGAATCAGAAGAAGTCTGATTCTCCAATCACACTTTGGTCAATATTTTTTATTCAGCTTGACCTACACTTTGTTTTAGGATATCAGTATCTCCAGATAAATGTCCGTAAATGCACTTAACACAGAAAAAAAAGATGGTCTTCATAACTTGCATGAGAATTATAACATTTTAAGCTTTCTTCAGTATCAAAGTAAGCTAGTGATAGTTGTCAGTACATCCATGAGTAAGTGGCAAACAAGAACTGCTAACAGTTAATTCGGCTCAAGTTGTAGCCCATTGCAACGTAACTGACTCAATGCAAAAAGCATTTTCAGGAATGTAAATCCAGAATTTAGAGGGGAGGGGGGGAGAATTATAGAGGGGTGTTGGTGCTGATTACTGTCAAACTTTGAAAACCTTTGGTTTAAAACAATATGGACTGTGTAGTGAACGTATCACAGCAGCAGCTTTCAGTCCTGGTTGATTTAGATTTTCTGATTTGAGTGTGAACAAAAGGAATTGTGTTTAGAGTTTAGCAGTCTGTAGTCTTTGACGGCATCCAAAATTACCCAAAGAAATTCTGGGAATGTCAACACAGACACCCAGTTCGTAATACTGCAAATATATAAATATCTCAATACTTTCATCAGTGACATTCACCGCCACTGATAGATAGTGACTTAACCAACATTTATTGTTACCACTCCAGTAAAATTAGCCTAAAACGCCTATCCAAGGCATACCCAGTGTAAATTGAAAGCTGTTCTTGAACCATTTGGAGTACATGCATGGTTTTGGTCTCTTTTGAAAGGTAACACTCTGAAGTTTTTTTTTGTTTGTTTGTTTGTTTGTTGGTGGTCTGACATAGGCGTTGATTGTAACTGCTGTTGTGATTGTATCTTGAAAGGGTTTGCATAAATCGAATCACAAGAATCTTAGCTTTCCAAAGACATGTCGCATCAGTACCTACCAATACATAACAGTTGTGTACACTCCAAAAGCCCGTGGGCAGGCCGTCGGAGTGTTAACAGGTTCATACTTTAAGTAACAAGCACGCCAGTAAACGACCAGTTAACAGCATCATAAGGAGTGTGTGTGAACATCACGTCACCCTGTAGGTGTTGAACGCCTCCATGTTGGTGATGACTCCGTCGTTCACAGGGCTTTTACTGTAGCAGGAGTGAGTGGACACAAAGCTCCTGAACGCCTCACGAGCTATATCCTCCGACAGAGTGGGGATGCTACAACACACACAAACAAACATATCATGAGTTGAATTTGCATATTCTCTGAATGCAGCCTTTCTTCTCATCGAGGGCGACTGTGGCTAAGTGGATAGCAGGGCCGTCTTTCAATCAGAGTGTCGGCGGTTCAATCCCCGGCTCTGGCTCTGCTAGTCGCATGTTGATGTGTTGAGCAAGACACTTAACCCCAAAATTGCTCCTGTAGTTGTGCCTACGGTGTAGAAATGTGATAGACTCTGAATTGTAAGCTGCTTTGGATAAAAGTGTCTGCTAAATGACTGTAATGTAATGTAATCTAGCCATAGGCCAGCCTGAGCATCATGTGATTGGCTGGTGATGTCAGGTCTTACATCCATTCCTCAGGGTGGGGTTGGGGCGGTGCTACAGGCTCCAAAGGCATAGGAGGTGGCAGGAAACCGCCTGCAGCAACAACAACATTCTTTAAGTATAGTTGGAACATCATGAATGTAATTTGAACAATTTTGTGGGTTGGACTCCTCTTACCTCCTGCAGCCATGCTTTCATAGCCGGGCATGTTGCCAAACGCGTTGGCCCCAGGGGCGATGGGAGGATACACTGTTGGAATAAACAGGGAACAGTCCATAAGTGAAAACATAAGTAGGTTAAGGGCAAGACCCTTTAAACGAATAGTCGACATTTTGGGAAATACATTTTCTTGCAGAGAGAAGATAGATACTGCTCTCGCATCTGTACGTTAAATATTAAGCTGGAGCCAGTTAGCTTAGTTTAGCTTAGCACAAAGAGTGGAAACAGGGGGAAACAGCTAGCCTAAGGAAAGGAGGCTTTAGGAAAGGAGGCAGTAATGAAGGAGAGAAAGGGATAGGAAAGGAAAGAAGGAGCTAGAGAAGGAGATGTTAAAGAAGGAATCGGAGAAGAGAAGTAGGAGGTAGCGAAGGAGTGGAAAGAAAAGATTTAGGAAAGGAAAAATAGGAGGAAAAGGATTTAACCTCGACTCAAATGACGGCTGATACTCAGTTATACTGTTATCTGGACCTAATTTTATTTTACTTCTTAACCTAATTTCAAACCTATACTTTATAGGTGGAGGGTGCATGGTACGTTTCTTTTTCTCGTTTTATTTCCTATTTAATTGTATCATTATCGCTGAAAATGTTGAATACAGAACATTTGTGCTCTGCCTGTGTTTCACCAATAAAGAAATATATATAACAAAAGCGGAAAAGGAGAAGATAGAGAAAGAAAAGAGGAGGCAGAGAAGGACAGGTGGAGGTAAAGAATAAAGAGGAGGAGGGAAAGAAGACAAAGAAGGAGAAGATGGAGTAGAGGAGGTGTGGCGGAAGTAGGAAAGTTAAATATGAGTTAGGGAAGGAGTGGAGAAAGCAAAGAAGGGGTGATTTTTTTCATTACAAGCATTGAACAATGCAGTCATAGAGGGTTTATTTAACTGTCCAGAGGAAGAGGATCAATCTTAAATGGACTTTGATTAATTCAATGTAACCATCAATGAAGCTGTAAATTAAAAAATGAAATCACAAATCCCTAAAAATACAAAAATAACTCATACAGACAGTTTGAATGAAGGATTTCTCTGACCTGAATGATGCTTTTCAGTTAAATTAATTAATTAAGTTCAGTTAATAAACTGACATGTCTTTATTATTCCAGATGTATTTGTAGCAACAGTCTTCAGTCGTTTTAAAAGCAAAAACTTAATTGTTATAAAAAAAGGGGTTTAACCCCAGTTTAGAGTAGACCATGTCTCCAGGTCTAAAGAAAAACATGATGCACTCAGACTCAGGTTTAAATTCACTCTGAGAAACTAAAATCGTAGCAGCTGTGTGGTGTTGTGGTCAGTTTGGTGACCCGTGTAGTGTTGTGTTCTGTCGTGTGTCGCATCATACCTGGGTCTCTCATCCTGCTGCTGTCTGACCAGTAGAGTATCAATGAATCCAGACAATCTCCGTCAGCTTCACAGCGCACTTCAAAGCTGCAGTCCAGACAGCGACAATTAAAACACTACGTCCGGGGAATCCTTTAAAAATAAAAGTCTAACTAACTTGGCCAGTTTTTATTTTTACCCCAACTTTTTACTACTTAAGTAACACAGACGTTTTTTTGTACCCGATATGCTCATATATTAAAAATTAAAATATTGTAAAAATAGAAACAGGCTTACATCCCACCCTATATATTCAAAGTTAAATAAATAAAGCAGTTAGAGTTCCACATTACAAGACAGAAAGTTGAACCATTATTATCATTGATGTTACAAATTACATGCATATTACTGTAATAACAATGCTTATAGAGCCAACTTTAACACTAAATTCAAACTCTGATAAAACAGCTCAATAGATGAAGCAATAAAAAAACAACCAATGCAATACATACAAATGAGCTGCTAAATTCAAGCAAGCTTACTTTGTTATGCTTTTTAAAGCTGCACATTAGTTGATTACGTGATACAAAATAACACCTCTATTAAATTTACTGTTTGTACTCAAAATCACAATACGTATTATCTCAGAATCTATTATCTTGGACACACAGTGCACACTGGACCACCTTCTGTACATAAAGGTTACTGAGTCAATATTTGAAATTACTGCAGGCTTTTATTTTGAAGGACACGGACGGTACCCTCTGTGATTTTCGCTCCGGTACCTTGACGCCACTGATTCTGCAGGTATGTCGACCACGCCCCATCTGGAGTGGATTACAGAGCTGAGTTGATAACAGGAGCGCACATGGGGTGGACAAAATAACATGAACACCTGCAAAGTGAACATTAGAGGAATTTACTGAACACTGTTTTATTCATTGAACTGCTGCTGAGACAGAAATGTTGTGTGTGGCGATGTGTTGTGGCGTTTTAGCAGCAGCATCTGTGAACTCCTGTCCTCCTCATGGGGTTGAAACTGATCTGACCCACGATCAGTTCCAACACGTGAGTGTTTAATCAAATCTCAGATTGATTCTTCGGCATCAGTGCAACAGGTCCTGAGCTGCTCTCTCGGTCTCAGGCATGTTTGGGCGGTTTGTGTCCCCTGGAGGTAAATACTTCGCAGGTCATCAGACACCCACCCCGTTCTTTCTGCTTTCCACCTGAACATCTAGCAGACTCCATATTAAATGTGTGGTGGTTTGATTATTACTTGAATTTAGGAAAATGCAGCACGAAATAATGAAGGAGCTCAGGTAATAAAGACCCACTTTAAGGCTTTTGTCAGGTGCGTTGTCTCTTAATTAATTTCTGTGCTGTTGACAGCATTTTTTAAAGCGTGGGTGCAGAGTAAGGCGTGTTCTGTCAGGTCTGGGTTTCATATCTCCACCAGGTGCCTGAAGGCACCACACCACACCATACTCTCTGCTCCATATCACACACAAGCAACAAAGGAAATTGATTATACACTTCCAGTGAATTGCTGGTCACTGGTTGCACAACTTTCCAAGTAGCCAGTGACTGTATCATTTTGACTGTTAATTAATGTGAAATGACAGCTATTCAAATACCTCCTCCGTCTCGTGACTTGAAAATGAGGCATTGAATGAATGCACATGCATTGATTGTGGGTTGAAACTCTTCAGAGAAAAAAAACACATACATTATGGAAACCGGTTGTCCTTTGATTTTTTTGTCTTGCAATTAAAACACTCATTGTCATTTAGTTTTATTTTTTGCTCATCACCTGTTATTTTTTGTTGCATTCACGTATCATTGATATTTAAATGTATTTAAATGTACTTGTTATGTTCATTAATGTAATGTATCATTGTTTTTATTTTGAATAATACAAAAAAAGAGTAGCCAGTCTCCAGCCAGCAGGGGGAGCCAGAGTCTGTCACACACTCAATCACACACTGCTGCTGGCAAAGAGGCCTCAGTTTACATTCCTGTTTCTCACGACAGCGTCAGAGTGTGTAAGTGTGTTGAGTAAAGAGGCCGAGTTACAGTGCTGAGGTTCTTACACTGAACCACAGACAGTCAGAGAGGAAACTCTGCAGTTCAAATAAACACTGAGGGGTGTTTGATTATCTGTGTTCTCTGCTCTCTCGCTGTAAATCAAACGCACCTCAAAGGGTTTGAAATGTTTAAAATGTCCTGTAGAATAATGTTCAGGTCCGTGACGCTGCAGAGAGTTTCTCTCAGTCTGTGTGAAGCTGTCAGGTTTCTTTACAGCTGCTGTTTACAATGTTTTCTAACTTTGCATCATCAAAGGTCACTTTCACACCTGTAGTTTGGTTCGTTTGGTCCAAACCAAGAGACAAAGAAGACACAATGGGCCTCATGCAAGAACAATTTACGTGTCACGAGTCATGCGCATTCAGCCTGGGTCTCTAATGGATGGTATGATTTATTACTGTGAAGTAATTTTGTGTTAGGAAATCCAATACAACATGTTCTGTTCACAAAGCCTGACAGTGCAACATCAGCTATTATGGCACATATTCTTTCGGCCATTGGTCATTAATCGCCTTGCTGTGGCGAGAAAAAGAAAATCTATTTTCGTATTAATTTTTTCTTCATTTCACTTCATCACTTGAATAGAACAGAGCCATTGCTAGTGTTGTTAGTAACACCTGTGCTTTTCCAACTATGACAAGTCAAAACGTCTTCCATGGAAAAGGCCCACGCACCTCCTCCTGTAAATTAATCCTGTCCGATTGGGCCTTTTGTCGCGTAAACTGAACTGCTAAAATAAATACTTCACTGCTAACCTTAGAGTCACACCAGATTAATAGAAATGAATCCTAAATTTACTGCTGATATTGTGTTTAAACTATGTCCCTGTGTGCCACATTAGCCAAAAGCTGCAAACCGGACCTGCTTCTCAACAAAATCAGCCAAAATGCAAATGCTGGAGCTTCATCACACCCACTGGAAATAAAACGCAGGTCCAATCAGGTATTGTAAAAAACAAATTGGTGTCATCAAATCAAAAGTTTTACACCGCAGAGAGAAAACTCTGAGGAGGATTTTCTGATGTTTCTATTCAGATTCAGGAGGGAGTTGAACTCACAGCTCTGAGCCTCTGGTCCTCCTCCACTGAGAGGATGTTTACACATCACTCTGTCTGTGTGTGTGTGTGTGTGTGTCATCTGGGTCAAGCAGAGTCATGCATTTTTTCCATTACCCTCATCAAATCAATGTTAAACACTCCTCCATTTGCCCCTGTACAACCACGGTGTGTGTGTGTGTGTGTGCGTGTGTATGTGTGTGACCAAAACGCCTGATCAATAAGCAGATTATATCTGATCAGTAAAAACTGGGACAACCAGTGTGCCAGATTTGGTTTCCAGATAAACTGCTGCTGATTTTAAACCAGTTTGTTGTCATTTCACGGCAGCTCAGATTCTATATACTGTATATATTAAAAAATGACTTCGGTCTCCTAACGTTTCCTCTGACGCCTCCGACAGGTCGACATTTGTTGTTTTTGAGTGAAATATCACGACATTTAAAACAGGGATTCAGGTCATGATTGAATTTTTTACATAAAGTCCAATAGTTCGGTTAATGACTTAAAACATGCAAAACATTTCCATCAGCTACTTTGTGTTTGTTTTTTTAATTAGCCAATATTAGCATGCTAACACGCTAAATGAAGATGGTGAACGTAGTCAATATACATCTATCTCAAAGCACCGCTGTGCCTAAAGTACAGCCTGTAGACTGAAGACTTTTAGACTGGCTCAAATGTAACTTCCAGAATTAAACATTCCTATAATTGAGCCAATAGAGTCGCTGCCAATAGGATTTTCTATTGGATTATGGTATATGGCAGAAAATAAGCTCCGTGGCAAACACAAGTTTATGATACTTACACGTTTTGTTCAGCAAGATAATCTTCACAAATGAACACCACTTTTATGATTTTTGAAGCGTGAGTGGATTCATCAGAAGTAAAAAGATTAACGTTAGGCTGTAAAGAAACTACACCACAGTCACCACCACCACAAAGCTAAACAGGGTCTAATGTTCGGCATGATGTCGTCTCATTTAGCCACTTGTTTGCATGTAGCTTTTCAAGACACATATCTTAAGCTTGTGGTAACCACATACCTTATTTACCCATTGTAAAAACTCATTGACTTCAACAAGACGGAACCGGTAGTGCAAAAATGTTACTCATTTCACATTTCAGGACTCATTCCTGCAGCACTTTGCATACTGTAAGCAGCCTGAGAGGCTAAACTCGGGGCAGGAAAGTCCCATTAAGAGACACTGTCTCATCCATCAGCCAAACACTCGGCCTGTGTTTTGTCAACCCTCCAGTGGAGTTCAGCATGCAACCCTGACACCATGACGACCGCTCAGTAAAACCGCCTCTTCTTCATCTGTGGCTAACGGACCAGGCGTCCCCATGGCAACAGTAAACATCCAGCTACGGCCCGATGATTGTGTGTTTTGTGATGATTGTGTGTTTTGGTGGAAGACAGAGGTTTGATCCCTGCAGCTTCTGCAGAAAGGAGATTACAACTAAAGAAAGGAAAGTTTTGATGAGTATTTTTACATTAAATCACATGATAAACAAACAAAACAAAACAAAAAAATTGCAAAATAGGGAAATGTAAATTATAGATAATATGGGTGGGCGACTGTGGCTAAGTGGAGAGCAGGGTCGTCCTTCGATCTTCGGCGGTTCGATCCCTGGCTCTTGTAAATAATAAAATGAAAAGAGGGAAAGTAAAAGTAATAAAACGAACTGAAACGATGAATCCATGTTTCATCATAGTGGTGGTCGTCTGTTTCAGACGTCTGCTAAAAGATGATTTTGAGTCTGTTTCTTTTAGACTTTATTCTGCAAGTGAAAACAGTAACCTCAGGAGAACAGCACAGTGGACACAGTGGAAACTACAGGACATCAGCTGTTCTCACGCAAACAAACACACACACACACACACACACACACACACACACACACACGCACACACACAGTCATCCAACCTTTAACCCATCAATGATGATCCTTCACAGTCTGGTTCTTTAAGTCATCTGAAGGAAAAGTCACAAAAACTTTCAGACCAAACAGGAAACGGAGTTGTTCACAGCGACGTAGGTAACTGTCCGCTGACTCCGTTCGCTGTTAATCATTTTTGTTGTCGACTCTCTGAACGTGAGAATAACCTGCAGACGCCGTCGTCCACGACATCACAACCAGAGGACAAACGTCAACGAGTCAAAGAAGGTCTAAACCTGACGCTCCTGGTGGATACGTGTCTTCAGAGGACGGCCAGGTCGTGGCAGCTCTTGGAGCGCACTTTGACCGCCATGCGCTGGTTGTTGCGTGCCACCAGTCGGTCCAGGAAGCGCCGAGCCTTCTGGGTGAGGCTCTCTTTGCGCTTGTAAACGGAGCCTCGGCGCTGGAGGGCCTCGGCGTCGTCTCGACGGAGGCGGATCTGTCGGATGACGCCCTCGAACAGCTCGGTCACGTTGTGCTGCAAAGACGCCGACGTCTCGATGAACTTGCAGTCAAACACCACCGCACACGCTCGCCCCTCTGGGAAACAAAGACACACGCGTGAAAGAGAACAAATGATCAAAATAGAATCCATCAAACGTTGCTTGTATTTTGTATTTATGTACACCTTGTGACCTTTGACCCCCCACCTTCCACAGCTACTTCTCTGGATCGCACCAGGTCGCTCTTGTTGCCCACGAGTATGATGGGAAGGTTTTCGGCCTGGCGCGTGCGTCGCAGCGTGATACGGAGCTCAGCGGCGGCGTCAAAGCTGGCGCGGTCGGTGATGGAGTAGACGATGACGTAAGCAGTCCCGACCTTCAGACAGTCGTCCTGAGAGGAGTCGTCCTCTTCCTCCTCCTGACAGGTAGAGAGTCGTGGACACAAAGATGGAGAGAAAGAAACATCTGAGCTTTAAAATCCAGATTTTACCAGCTGGTTCTCCTACTATGTTCCTGTTCTTTGAAGGCATTTATTGGGAAGGAGCAACAGGACGTTGATCAAACAGGTTCGCAACCGAGCGAAATAGTCAATAATGATCCTCTTCAACATTTGGACACATTGGGTGATGTAATCACTTGACAAACACTTGAGCAAATGCATCCCTGAAACTCATTTTTATTTTGTGATCTCAACAAAACAAGCTTACGTTCCTGGGATAATTTTCTCTGATGATGATGATCTCAACGCAATTATTCAAAGCAAAGAGTGAGAGAAATCTAATTGAAATCCATCACGAGGTCCCTTTGCAGGACGCCATGTACCCATAATCCTCTGCCTCACAACTGACCTCTTAATGCTCCACAACTGTACTTCATCAACACACACACACACACACACACACACACACACACACACAGTACCAGTTTGTCATTCTCCCAGGTATCCATGACGATGAGTGTGGATTCCTCTCCATCTACCGTCAGTGTCCGCTCGTATGAGTCCTCTGTAACAAACAATGAACACACTTACATTCACAGATGTCATGGCAATCCATCCAGTAGTTGTTGAGATACAACGAGCAACATCTTGGTCTCTAGAGCAATGTTGCGAGCACGGTTAAAAACAATAAACAACATAACAACAACTGTTGTATCTCTGATCATAGAGTGACAAACAACCACCTGGTCAACAACAATGACAACACAGTTGATAAACCAAACATTGAGTTAAGTTGACCTGAAAGCTATATGCCCCCTCGCACCATGTCAGACTGTCACCGGATCAATACGGGTTGTCAATCATGGCCTCGGGCCATTCGACACGTGACACAGGAGACGATGATCAATGATGTCGGGTCAGTCGGGTAAGTGCCGGATTATTTCTTGGTTCGGACTAGCAGAGACTAGTTTAGCAGAGGTACTTTAAAGATGCTTTGTTCATCAATAGTTTAAAGATGCTATATTCGTCAATCAATAAGGTAATTTTACACAATGTGCAGGTGGAGTGTGTCTTTTTGTATTTTTCAAAGCGGTCAAAGTGTCAACCACAGTACGGCATTCCTGGAGAGGTTTTTGAGTGTTCGGTGCCTTGTTCAGGAACTTAACACCTGGAGGTAAACTGGCTACTTACTAAACAAGACACACGTAATAACATTATATAATTAGTACGTTTTTGATGTGCTGGTAGGCTGAATAGTTATCTTTGGACAGCTGTTTTCAGTCTTCATGCTAAGCTAAGTTAGCTGCTGCTGCTGCTTTATCTTTAATATACAGACCGGAGAGTAGAATCAATCTTCTCATCAACCTCGTGGCAAGAGAGCTGCTGAGCACAGTTCCCAAAATGTCAGAATTTTACTTTAACGCATCTTATCAGGTCGGTCACTCTGAAAGTTTGTCCCGCTCAAAAATCTCCTGCTGCCCAGAAAGCATTCTCCCCAAAGTATTATAACTAATATAACTATGATAACCAATACATTTGTGAAGCTGTTGACATAAATCCAACAACTGCAAACAATAACAGTTCTTGGTTCTTTTTGTATTAGCTGTTAAACAGACTCAGTTACAGCAGTATATATCTCACTAGAATTTGCTAACATTAGCCACCACGAGCTACCAGACCAAGAAAATGTGTGTTGAACTAAACAACAGTTTTGTTTATTATAAATTAAAAAAACATTTGTAGGAGGAATACGTTTTTCTTTTCGTGGAGGAGATAATATCGACTTCTTTCTAGTTTAAAGCTTTTCTCTTGTTTAGAGTGAGAACATTAAGTATTAACTAAGATAAACTAGATAAATGAATCGAACAACAAAACCTAACTTCCCACCTCCGGGTTGTTCATCTTTCTCTGTGATTCCGGCAAAGATTCCTGTGAGGCTGGTCTTTCCGACGCCGGGGTCGCCAAGCAACACCACTCTGTAAACACAGTCCGAGTCGCTCTGCGAGTCGTCGTCCGAGTCTGAGCTCCACTGGGCGCGGTAGTGGAGGGACTTGTCTCCAGGGTGGTAGGACGCCGACTGTCCCAGAGGAAGGTGGTTGCGCTGGGGGTTCGGCTGCTCGGGCTCCGGCTGGGTGCCGCCGGGGAGCGGAGTGTCCTGAAAGTCCCGAGTCCAGGACTGGTGCCGGTAGAAGTGGGCGGGAGGAATCGGCGTGCTGCCTCGCCGCCGCAGAGGCTCCTTCTCTCTCTGGGTGTTGAGGGTCATGTTGCTACGATAACGGCATCAGGGCAGGACAGACCTGAGGGAGGAGACAGGACGATTCAGGTATCAGAAAAAAGTCTGGTTAGCTATGGTCTTTAACATTCTTTAAAGGTTTTCTGATTGACTTCCAAAATGACCAATCACAGAGCATTACTTTGGCATAGAGAGCAGAAGCCCCGCCCCCTCTCCAATCTAATCTAATCTAATCTCAGTATTATTATGGTACGTTTTCCGTCCATTTTCCAAGACAAAGCAGCGATCACTTCTGCCGCCCTCCATGGGTTTAACCCCTCAGGTTGCTGCAGTGACGTAGAAGTGTACCACAGGGTGTGTCAGTACACTGTGACATCACCACTAGGTGTGCTTACAGGTGCAACAGTCTGTAAACGTTGCAACCAGAGAGGGCAGTTGAAACACTGATCGCTCACAAGGTTTGGACACCAACAGTGAAGGTACAACACTAAACTGTGCACTGCTATTTCGGCCATGTCTTAGTCTCAAGTGACTTTAAATGAGGTTAAACAAATAAGAATAAATCTAATTAGTTCCAATGCTCTCTGCCTGGTTCCAGGGTCATAATTTCACCCAAAATACGCTTACTTTGCCCTAAGCGTTTTCACTATAACGTTATAGTGAAAATAATTTTACTGGAGTAGAAGAAAAGTTAATTTAGTTCATTGCTGAATTCTCAGAGTTCTCTAAATCTACTCTCTGATCCTTCAGGGACTTTCGTAAAAAAAAGCCTGGCAGAAAATATCCGAGAGGATCGGATACCAGGACAGAAAATGTGTCTCACTACACACCACCTCGCACAAACTATGCTTTCACTTGCGTGTTTTGTGTGAAAACGGCATCATTCCATGTGATTTCTGTTTTAATATCTGTTTTAATATCTCAATAGAAGTGAGTGGCCTGGAGCAGACTACCTCAGGGGGTACAAGACACAGTGTCTGGAACTACAATCACCACCTCAAGGTTGTATGCCAACCCGCATACCAGTCATGTTGCAGTTTCCATCCATGTCTGTCCAACATGTCATCACTTCATCATCTTAACCGTCGCCGGCGCAGAAGCATCAGATTCATTAACCATTTGTCTACTGGCTAGGTGATGAAGGACTAACTGACATTCTGTTGCACCAGCTAGGTTTAAAGGTACAATATCCAAGATTGGGAGCATTTCGATTGCCTCTCAACGGCTCTCAACATGTCGACGGCGAGCCGGCGGCTCATAGCTAACAGAGCTAGCTGCGCTAACAGTACAATTCGTTTGGCGTTCTTCAATTCTAGACATGTAAATAGTTCTTTTATCTGTCAGCTATTTGTGACAGTCACGTGTTACAAAAATTCAGAGGTGCATCATCAAGTGCACTGACCACTTACGGAGCCTACTCGCACCCATAGACTGTATATAAGAAGTGGACGTAGTCATCGCGACGTCACCCATTGGTTTGTGGATTGCCATTTTGAAGCCTTGAGTTTTAGCCGAGCTTTAGCCGTCGCCATGTTTCTTTTGCAACCGATGAACAGAAGTTATTTGGAATGCGAAGGAATGACGTAGAGACGACGTATACGGCTCTGGTAGTGGCAGCGACCTGTCAATCACAAGGTAGCCTCGCCCTAAATCATACCCTGCTTTATGGTCTATTTGACTCTAAATGGACCATCACTTACTAAATGAACATCATGCTGTATTGAAGAAGACATGAAACTAGAGAGTGAGACCATAAACTCATGTTTACAATGTTTACTGAGGTAATAAATCAAGTGAGAGGTAGAGTCATTTTCTCATAGACTTCTATACAACCAGAGGAGTCGCCTCCTGCTGGTCAGTAGAGAGACTGCAAAGTTTAAGACACTTCCGCATTTGCTTCACTCGGCAGAACCGGAGGTTGCCGCCTGCTCGCTCCACACTCCGGCCGTGATTACGTCATTTTGTGGTGCTCACTCCTCACAGACAATAGCTGCTTGCTGCTATAGTAAAGCTCAGAATGTTTAATGCAGCTCCTTTATGTTCAAACATAGGTTAGCTTTAGTTTGAATGGGAGCAAAAACAGGTCACTATTCAAGACAGCTGCGACGTAACGTTTAGATAGAATAAACCTATCTGAGCAGGTATGAGTCATTCCTCAATGTGAGTTTCATGGAAAATGTTAGAGAGATAAGAGAGATTAAGCAGAGAAATCTTTTTTCCAATATTTACATTGGGAACACATTTCCTGTGACAGACTACATTAATGATGACGCTGCGCTGAGCTTTATGTGTACAGTGTGATTTCATGCTTTTTAACATTACTTACTGTTTTAAAAAATAAATAAAACTGTCTCAGAATCAGTTGAAATAACTGACATACAATTAAATAACAGTGATTAGACTAATTATGATGCTGAATTTGATTAAATTCCGGTTACTAGAAACCGTATATGCACCAATCATATGCACCTCTAGTATGCATAAGAGCGCACAGACACACAAACAAACCTTCTACGATAAATAATTCAGGTATTTAAAGCTGCCAAGTATGACAGTCAGTGATAGTGAGAGCACGTTAGACCAAGTCAAAGCTCCTGCGTTTGAGGGTAGTTAGTGAACTAGTTACTGTAACTTATTCTGGGTGTACAGTAACAGCTTATAAATGTAGCTTTAACATTTTCTCTTCTTTTCTTTTCACAACAGAATGAAGCACCAGACACTCAGAAGGTTAAAGGTCAGAGGTCTCTCGTCTACAGTAAAACGTCATACAGTACATGACTGCTAGTTAGCTAGTTGAAAAGAGTTAATGAAGTTCACCATGTGCTTTTAAGAAAATTAGATCAAACAGAAACTCCTTATTAAAAAAAGCACAAGTAATAAAGGTAAACATTTACAAATTATACCTTAAATGTGAAATGTCTTAAAATGTGCCGAGATGTAAATATAACATGATATTCAATGTGAATTTTATTATCTGGAAATTGTGTTTTGTGAAATGTGAATTTCTTTTGGACATTTCACAACTAAGATATAATTAATGTGTGAAAACACAAATTTAACAAATGCTGTTTTTGTAACAGAGAACTAAAAAACAAAGAAATAAATAGATAGATAGACAGACAGACAGTTAGAATAGATAGATAGATAGATAGATAGATAGACAGATACATAGATAGATAGATAGATAGATAGATAGAAGGATAGATAGATAGATAGATAGATAGACAGACAGACAGTTAGAATAGATAGATAGATAGATAGATAGATAGATAGACAGATAGACAGTTTGAATAAATAGATAGATAGATAGATAGACAGTTTGAATAGATAGACAGATAGATAGATAGACGGATAGATAGATAGATAGATAGACAGACAGATAGATAGATAGATAGACGGATAGATAGATAGATAGACAGATAGATAGATAGATAGACGGATAGATAGATAGATAGACAGATAGATAGATAGATAGATAGACGGATAGATAGATAGATAGATAGATAGATAGACAGATAGACAGACAGACAGATAGATAGATAGATAGATAGACAGATAGATAGATAGATAGACGGATAGATAGATAGATAGATAGACAGACAGACAGATAGATAGATAGATAGATAGATAGATAGACAGATAGACAGACAGACAGATAGATAGATAGATAGATAGATAGATAGATAGATAGATAGATAGATAGACAGATAGACAGACAGACAGACAGATAGATAGATAGATAGATAGATAGATAGACAGATAGATAAACTTACCGTACACCCCATCAACAGTCCTGTGTTGGTCCAGCCTCAGTAAACAACAGAACTGAACTGAACCCTGTCTCTCTGTCTCCGGCGGTGTAACAGTACCCTGGTGCCACAGTAACCCGCCTGGAAAAAAAAAGTTCCACAACAGCGTTAAAAATTCAGCAGTGGAATCACAGAGTTATCTAGCCCCCTCTGTGTGAGTGTGTGTGTGTGTGTGTGTGTGTGTGTGTGTGTGTCAGAGCGACAGCAGAGGAGAAACAGATAACTGAGGAGGGAGTGAGTGTGTGTGTGTGTGTGTGTGTGTGTGTGTGTGTGTGTGTGTGTGTGTGTGTGTGTGTGTGTGGGTGTGTGTGTGTGTTGGTTTCGGGAACATTTTGGACACTTCCTGTTTGAACCAAAAGACATAGTTTGGCTTTATGAAACAGTTCAGATAAAACAATTACAATATATAAAACACAACATAATAATAAAAATAAAGAGTCACCGTCTAAGTCTAAAGTCAGATCTTCACCAACGTAAAATACAGAAAACATAATTAGCTGGATAAAAGCTTTATACATTCAGTTTATTTACTAACTTGAAAGCTACACAATGTTTAAAAAGATCCTGAATATCAGAGAGTACAGCTGGCTAACGAAAAAAAGTTTACAAAATGCATCATGATTCATGATAACGAGACAAAGATACCAGTTTAAATGACGAAGGACTAGTTTAAGTCGGGTCCCTCTACCTGACCAACACACAATTAACTCCAGTATTTCCACAGAGTATTGACTATCGAGTGTTAAAGTCAGTTCATGTGTTTTCAGTTGCTATATGTGCAGATGATAAAAACTCTGCCTGTATTGAAATGAATTAAAAACCCCAATTTTCTTACTACAAATACAAAGTTAACACGATTTGATAGAGGTCTAGTGGCACATGTTTCACTATTTTTAAATTGATTCCCAAAACCTCAGAACAGAAAGCCGGCATTACAAACTGAAAGTGTGGAGTTTGAAAGACGATGGCATTTTCCAGGAGGCTCAATGAAAGACACGTGCAGTGCCTTTGGAGCTTGATCCGTATCAGGTACTACAAGTCAGGATATCTGTGCTTCTGCTGCACAGATCTTGACCACTAATCATCATAATCTCTTTGTAAATCATTCAACTTCACACTTCATTGCTGGAAAACCTTTAACTCCGCAAGCCCTCACAGTGTCAGCAAGTCAGAGACAGTGAGTCAAAACTTTGACTTAGTATCACAAAATGTGGATTTAGAAAGTAATTGTGAGATACTTAGAATGTCAGAATGTTAAGGTAGTATCTCATATTTTGGATTCAAGATGAGTATCATTGTTAATCTTTCATGCCCCCCTCCTTCCTTTTTTTTCTGCCATGAGTTGACATGGAAAATTAGATTATAGAGAAAAACCAACATCACTTCCTTTGTGTCCTTTGTGTCGGCGTGAGTCTCTCTTACTGACACTCAACACATCACAGATGTTTAGATTTTATCCACCCCTTCAGTTTAAAAGTTTAACATTTAAGAGGAAGAGTTTCCTCCCAGATGGCCGTCACCTCGTCCAATCCAGCGCGCCTATAAAGTACAGTTCATCTAAGTCACCAGCACAGAAACCAATCGCTGATCATCAACCAGTTTAGGGTCCAATCAGCTGCTTCCAGCTCCACCAGCAGCTCCATCGCTCCCTCTGCAGGCGGACTGATATTACTGACTGTGTCAGCGTGTAATCAAATGTTATTCATATTAAAATAAAAGCCCTTTATCATACAGTCAATTCTTTTATTGAACTTGTAACTCATAATGTTCCTCCTCTTCCCCCCCATGCACAGTAGGTGGCGCCCTAAGAAGAGAGAGGGACATGCTGGAGTGCATCGGACCTCTGAGGGTCGTGGTACTCAGTTTCATCCTGACTGGCAGGAGAATTAGGAGGAGGAGGATAGGGAGGAGAATGAGGAGGAGGAGGAGGAGGAGTGGCTAGAGTAGGGGACACAAATGTAATACAGAAATAAGACAGTTGTAATAGTTATTCTGTAAAACAAATGTATTTATGTAAATTGAGTTTTGATCCATAAAGACTTTTTTCTCACCTGCAGCAGTCATCCATTTCCACAGTTTGTCAAGAGCTTTAGCTGCAGCAGGAGGGAAACAAATCGATGTCAAGCTTCAGTCAAAATTGCGGAAAACCCGAATAATTCAGATTTTCACAGTTTTATCACACAGTTTAATACAAAAGGTTCAGTCTCAGTAACAACTGTAGTTCATCTCAGCGCCAGCAGGTGGAGCTGATGCTGACTGAACTGATGGTTCAGAGTCTCTGAAAGGAAGAGAATTACTTTAAATGACGAATTAAAAGTTAAAAGTAAAGGTTTAAATAAAGGTTGAACAGAAATACATTTCAAAATCTGAAAAAAATGTAGATAATTGAACTATTTCAAATCTTTTTACTGCAGTTTTTCGTTCAGTCCTTTTTGAGTGTGAATATATTTACAATCTGCATGAAAGAAGGTCCGGTTCAATAACACTTACATCTCCTGGGAAGACAACCTGCTGTTGAAACCTCCGGGTTTGATCCAGAATCTGAACCTTGTTCTCCACTAAGATACTCTCCAGGTTCTGCTCCACATTCCTCCTCAAGTTCCTCTCCAGATTGTGGTCCGGCTTCCACCAGGAGAAAGACTCGGTCCAGTAGGTGGTCCAGCATCTCTTGGGCTTTGTCTGGCTCGGTTCTGATGGTCAGGACACGAGTGGGATGTCCTGCTGACATCCGCAGCTCTGTGAGGTTTCTAAAGTATCAAAACCCAGAGAGACGCTTCAAAACTCTAAACCCCAGGTTAGGGCCTGCAGCACTGGTCTGGGGCATGAGCAAGAAAGTAAACGCAGGGAAAAGGTCCTGGGTTCTAGGTTAAGGTTGAATGCACTTTTTTTTATGAGTTTATGATGTTTGTTTTTATTATTTTTTGCTAAATGCTATGAAAGTATTGAAACACTCAATCCAAAGAGCAATCCACACAGCCGGTATTCAGAAACTTTGCCTTTAAACAAGCCATCACATCTATAAATGGTCAGTATATGTATATATATATTTCACAGTTTCAAACATAAACATTCTAAATGTGTCCCAGTTTATTTCAGGTTGCAGTTTTATGTGAATGACATCAGCTGACAAGAAGTAAACATCAACCCAAGCTGTTGTCTAGCAGAGAGTTTCAGAGGGTAAATACAGGTATGTGTCCAGACAGACACCAACAAGTTTTAAGAGTTTTTTGAACATTAAAGCATGTAAACATGACGTAATTTCACCTGTTAGCTTCTAGCACGTGTTGATTTTGCTCAATGCGCATCATGATATGCAAAGCGGGATGATTAAGCAGGGTATTATTTAGGGCGGGGCTACCTTGTGATTGACAGGTCGCTACCAGAGCCGTATACAGCTTCTCTACGTCCTAATATGGTCACTTCCGTTCACTGGTTGCAAAAAACAAGTTGGGGATTGCCAAAGTGCCAAACTTGAGGGTTCAAAACCACAGTCCACGAACCAATGGGTGAAGTCACGACGACTACGTCCATCTTCTTATAGAGTCTTTGGTTCTTACCTGTTTCTGCTGTGTCTGAGGATCCAGCAGAGAACCAGCAAAACCATCAGGACCAGCAAGAGAACCAGAAGGGAGATGATCAAGTATTCAGAGGTCATCGTCACTCAACTATCTGAACAACAGCGGGCAGCAACACAGCACACCTGTTTAGGGAGGAAAAAGTAGATCAACATTGAGGTTTAAAGCTTATTCTTGACCTCGAAACCAGCAGTTGAGAACATGATCTTCCCACAAGGTCCATTTCGTAGCTCTTCTGGAGCTTTTGACTGTCTCACAGAATCTTCTTCATAAGAGGGAGTTTTAAACTCATGATGAAGATCATGTGATATGACAGAAAGCTCCTGAACATCTACAACATAGACCTCGAGGTGAGGGTGTTTTCTCAATAGCCTAACATTTCTTTCTCTGATCATTCAACTCATCTTTTTAAAGATGGAGTATAGATAAATAATCAGGATGTTGTTGATATTGTGGCTTTAATAAAAACCACAACCTCTACGGGACAATAGTAGAACTTCACACTAGTAGTCTGGAGTAACAACAACAAGTCAGAGTAAAGAATAACATTCATTCAGACATTATTCTTCAAGCATGTATTGATTATATGTTTAACTTACCTGCCTCTCCTGTTGGGATCCTGTAATTTGAAGTTAGTCAGTTGTTCAGAAAGTATTTCGAAAGACTCAACAGTTTGAAAAAGTTGAAAGAAAATATTCTGTTTTGTTTACATTTCCTAAACCAATCAGAATTGGATAAACAAAATATTATGTCTGACAGGAAACCTTTCTTTTCTGGCAGCATCTAAAGATAAGAAACCTTTAATTTCTACCAATAACAATTATTGGCCTTTTCCAGAGAAATTCCAGCAAGAAGCTGTTCAAATGTCACGTTTTTTGCCCCCTCAAATCGATTGTTGTCAATGGTTGCTTAGTGATGGCAGGCGTGACAGGAGTGTAACTCTTAGTTCTTATTTGCCATTTCAAAATACTGTTTATTGGTTCCATATATAGTTCTTTTTTATTTTATGTCTTAGTTTTGTCGTTATTGTCCCTGAAGAGGTTGGGGGTTCTTCCCATTCACTTCACTACAGTCAGAGTTTGATCACAGCAGCATCTAGTGGACATTAGAGGAACTGCAGCCGATCACACGGCAGCTCAACACAAGGAGGAAACAGGAAGCGGTTTGTCAGCATGTTATTTAATCAGATTAACGTTGATCAGGAAGGCAGTGAATGTTTTTACAAAATAATATGTACAAGAGAAGAATCTTTAGAAAAAATCTTTGTCTCATATCTTTTTTTATTAAACCACCATCAGATAAAATATCATACATCAATACTTACACTCAAATGTACCCCGATAGAGAAATATTAGGTTAATATAAATAAGGTGTTTATTACAGCAAAAGGACAAAGTAACATGAAGGACGATGAAATACGCAAAATCTCTAGAAAATGTTGTAAATACAACAATCAATATACAGACACAGTGTGTGTGTGTGTGTGTGGTGCTCAGACAGCATTATTGGTGGTGTTATTATTGATATCCATCCTGCTGATCATTTCGGTCACTAACTGCTGCACAGTTTGAGAGCGCAGCCTTCCGACTTCGAGGACGTCCTCGTGGTTCACACTGTCCGAGTCCACGTAGCTCTTCACCACCTGACACAGATCAATCAATCAATGAATCAGTGAATCAATCGGTCAATCAATCAATCTATATAACACTGTCACATCATATCACACTGAGTCAGTTAATCATTCAATTAAATCAGCATGTCAGTTAATCAATAAAGCAATTGATTCATTGATTAAGTAATCAATTAATAGCTGGTGGAGTTGATCGCTCTTAATAATCAGGTTGATTTGTGACTTTGTGTCAGTCACAATGGATCGAAACGTTGACGTATTGATCGGTGTGTTTACCTTGTTTGTGATCAGAGAGAGGCCGAACACTCTCAGACCGCAGTGAGTCGCCACAACGACCTCAGGAGCCGTACTCATACCTGTAAACACACAACACCTGACGTTACCGAGACCACAACAGTACTACTGGTACTGAAGAAAATACTGTGAATAATACTACTGTTACTGTTAGTACTGACACAAACACTGTGATGACAATACTGTGAATAATATTGCTAAATCATCAGTGTTGTTTCTGTATATTGTGTTTGTAATGAACGGTGCAGCATCCGTCTGGTTTCTCTGTGTGTGTGTGTGTGTGTGTGTGTGTGTGTGTGTCTTACCGACAGCGTCCACTCCGAGTCGATGTAGCAGTTTGGCCTCAGCGATGGATTCAAAGTTTGGCCCCCCCACCATGGCGTACACGCCCTCCTGCATCAGGCCGGACACGCCCAGCTGCTTGGCGATGTCCATCGCGAGGCAACGCAGGTCTTTGTCGTAGCAGGCTGACATGGCCGGGAAACGAGGCCCGAACCTGTAAACAACAAATAATAAACAACAACTGAAACAAAACCCTCAACAACAAAGCGTCAAACTTCAATACTTTGTTTTAATTACATCGACTGCGTGTTTCACAAATAAAATGTTACAATACAAACAAAGAAATAAATAAGACAACCAGCTTCATCACAAACACATAAAAAACGATAAACAACACAGGTATATGTATATGTATATACGGGTGTGTCTTACTTGTCATCGTTGGGTCCGGTCAGCGGGTTCAGACCGACCAATCCGGGGAAGTTGACGTGGTCTTTGATGATCATGATGTCACCGGGCTGGAGGCCGTCGGCCAATGCGCCGGCAGCGTTTGTCACGATCAGAGTCTTCACCCCCAACAGCTTGAAGACTCGAACTGGAAACGTCGTCTGATGAGGAGACAGACAGACGGACCGACAGACAGACAGACAGACAGACAGACAGACGGACAGACGGACAGACAGACGGACCGACAGACAGACAGACGGACGGACCGACAGACAGACAGACAGACGGACGGACGGACGGACAGACGGACAGACAGACGGACCGACAGACAGACAGACGGACAGACGGACAGACGGACAGACGGACAGACAGACAGACGGACAGACGGACCGACAGACAGACGGACAGACGGACAGACGGACAGACGGACAGACGGACCGACAGACAGACAGACAGACGGACAGACGGACAGACGGACAGACGGACAGACAGACAGACAGACAGATAGACAGATAGACAAGTATCTCGTCATAACTTTGGTAATCATTTGTCTCTAAAATATAAGGTCATGTTTTTTTTTAATCTTAAAACATTCAGGCAGCAATTACATAATCCACAATTGTATCAGTTAGAGCGCCAACTAGAGGACAGACACACCAGAGAGAGAGAGAGAGAGAGAGAGAGACTGTGTGTGTGTGTGTGTGTGTGTGTGTTCGTGCGTGTGTGTTTCAGAGTTTGGGAACCCAGCTCAAGTCATGCAT